GCATAAACGATGGGGCGGTTCAAAGTCACTCGTTCCGTATGTGTTTTTGGTGGCATAACTCGATGGGGGCTGGAGACGGAGCCTTAATTCTGACAAAAACCCTAAACAACTCACTAGATCTGAGTATATTTTAGAGTTTGTGGCTGCACAATTATGACAAGGCCTGTAAGGCCGAGCCATGCCATTCGATGAATTGAATTGAGTCAGTGTCCTAGCGTTCACCATTATTGATCTCCTACTGCTATATGTTGAAAGTCAATTTTCCCAGTTATCTCATGCTCAGTTTTGAGAATTGTGGTTAGGACCAATACCACTACAAATCTATCCCTGTAATCGAGAGTGTAGTCACACCCTAGCAGTTGGCGTGTGAGACGAATTCGAACATCTACTCTTATCTTGTCTGAGGTATTTATGTTTAGGAAGATAAAAATGCTATATTCAAGGGTGGGTTGTACACATATCCTGTAAAGGATATGCGTAGCGTCTGTTGTAAAGAACCTTTTCATTATGAAACGAATTAGCCGTCTAGAATTAGAAACAATAAAGGAGGAACGTTCTTCTAATTTTAGGCTTCCTGTGTGATTAATACGTAGGTCGTGCACTGATTTGAGTGTATGAAGACTAGTTTCATTCAAGTAAAGTTGTGGTTCATTGGGATGTTTTCCAGAATGCATGATCCCACACTTATTGTGGTTAAATGGTAATTGCCGTTTTTCGCTCCAGATGTTTGGGTTGTTGAGGTCACTTAGAATCTGTGATACATTTTCATTTGGAGCTTCAGGCTGTATACTATTTTGAGATAATCGGCGTATAAGTGTGGTCTCCCGAATTTTGTGGTGTTACATATATCGTTTATGTACATACGAAACAAGAGTGGATCTAATACACTTCCCTGGATGACTCCACTAGCTATTGGTCTAGGTGATGAGAGAAAGAGTTATTGCACCTTAACATTTGTTTACTCCCTGTTAAGAATGAAGCAAACCATCAATATAGTCTGTTGTTGGTTCCGAATGACTTTAATTTGATGAGACGCCTTTTGTGTTGGACCTTATCAGAAGCTTTCTTGAAGTCTAAGAATATTATTCAGATAGTCTACTAGGCATGTATCATATGATCTGGACCTAAGAAACCCATACTAGGAGGCCGAGATGACGTTATGAGTAGGTTAATGTTGAACTACCGCCGCCTTTATCACTTTTTCCATCACTTTAGATACCATTGAGGTTATGATTATGGGTGGGCAGTTTTCAGGTACTGTCTTAATTTTGGAATGATAAATGTAGTTTTCCAAACAGTAAGGTAACACACTGTAGAGAGTGATATCGCAAATAGTTCAAGAAGTGAAACACACCGATCATTATCCCCACTTTATAGCATGCTAGCCGGAATACCATCTGGTCCGTCAGTATAGGAGTGCTTCAGTGTGCTAATTGCTTAATAAATATTCTGTTAATTGAAGTCTACATTGGCAATTTCCCAGGAAGGTACCAAAATTGGTCTCGATTCATTTAGTGATTTTTTATCGGTTAATGAAAGACAAAAGTGTTCACTAAATAGCTCCATAACAAGTTTAGGATCCCCGTCTACTCGATCGTCATTATTAAATGTTTCCTCTTTTCAGTTTAAAATGTTTACGCTTATTTTGGAGAATTTTGAGGAGTTCGGAGGGGTCATAACGTTCCATAGCACGTTTACCCTATGCGAATGTTTTTGTGCGTATTACCTCTGCCTGAACGAATATTTCTGTCATTGTAACTAAAGAGGGAAAGTTATTAAGGTTATGGAATCGAGTACAATGTCTTTAAAGACGTCTTTATCTAGAGATCGGTATATACAGATCTTTAGAAAACCCAGGTCTTCTGTATTCTAGAGGTACAATATTTTTAGTGTTGTGATAGGATATGTTAGTCAGTTTGTAGGTATTGCTTACAGTAAAGAGGGTTCCCTGATCAGTGCTTCTTGATTTTTTTCAATCGACCTTGTGGTAGATTCTACGTATTGCTACATTTTTACGACTACCGGTTATGGTTTTTATATTAAGGCTACATGTGACAAGGTTATGAACGCTACCTGGAAACGTCTTTCCGATATGCACAGTATTAGAGTTGAGGCCACTGGTAAAGACTAAGTCTATTACATTTTGATATCTGGCGGGGCTACTGACATACTGATTCTAATGTCTTTCCTTATAGCAGTGAAGCAACTAATTGAGGCTCTAGACAATGGAAACAAATGGATGTTGTCTACATAGACTTCAGCGAAGCATTTCACACGGTACCAACAAATAGACTGCTCTTAAAGTTAAAAAAATTAGGTATTGCCAGACCCCACTTAGAATGGCCTAAGGATCTCCTTCTAGGTCGTATGCAGAAAGTAATAATAAATTCCAAATGCTTCACTTTGGATATGGAAAGGCTTTGTCCTAGATTCTTTACTTTTTGTACTGTATGTAAATGAACTTCCAGGCATCGTTGAGTCTCCAGTTCTACTATACATTGATGGTGTAAGAAATCTGGCGAGAAATATCGGGAGACACAGATGCATGCGCACCTCAGCAGACTTAAATATTCTGATTAACTAATGCAAAAGGCGGCTTATGTCTATCATCACGGGCAAGTGTGTCTACATGCATTTTTAGATACGAAGGTAAATAGATACAGCACAGGGAAGTGCCTGTGCCCGTGAATCGGTCTCACAAGGATTTTAGGATGACAGTGAGTCATAACCTTAAAACCACGGTCCACTGCTAGGAAATTGCAGCTAATGGGCTTAGAACCCTCCGGGCTTCAAGACGGATATTCTCCTAGTTAAATACTACCATGTTCACTACAGTATACACAACGTCAGTGACAACAAAGCTTGATTACTACGTGCAGGCAGCAAGTCCCTGTTTAAAAGGTGATTCAGATATCCTGGAAAAAGTACAAGGGCAGCTAAATGTGTAATGCAAAAAACTTCAGGGTTTACCATAGAAAGAACGGCTTCAAAAACAAAGCCACTTTACTCTGTCCTATCACAGATTAAGAGGTGATCTGATTTTAAAGTAAAGAATACTAGGAAATCGTTTGATACCTAACAAATTCTTTCTCTGCTTTACCACTAGATCAAAATATCTCAGGGGACATAGCAGGCGAATAGAAATGTAAAGAACGAACAAAATACACGTGTCATAGAGGTTTTCACACTGGGTGATCATTTCTTGAAACCTGTTACCTGAAGCAGTGGTATCCGCACCCTCAATTAACTCATTTAAGACCAGGCACTTGTAGTGACATTAGACCATAACCACACGATCTTCAAAGCTGAACACAAGACTACTTGGAAAATAGATATTCAATATTTAACACGGAGAAATACCTAACGATGGAAAAGGCGGGAACAACCAGTTGAATGAATTGGAGTTGATCGGGTGGCATGGCTCGGCCATGTAGGCGTGGTCCCTGCGGAATATTACCTTAGATCTTTTATTCAAATTAAATATATTGTTCTCTCTCTAGCCCAAGCTTGTTCTTCATCATGTATTAGTAGTTGTTACAACACAGTGAGTTGGTGTAGACGATGACGTGACTTCCACGTAATATCTTATAGATTAGGCAGTTATATCATGACAAATCTACAGTTTTAGGATTAGGTCTATTATTAGAGCAGTACTAATATCATTGTAGACCATAACTCTACACACTTACAGAAGCATAGACCGAAAGGAATAACGTAGGCCATAGGCCTTCCGTCCTTACCACACAAATCCGTAATCTTAATCTTAATCTGAATATATTTGAGTAAATTCGGACGCTTCACTTCACCCTGAAGTTCGTGCTGATGAAGCCATTAAAAAAACGGTGAAGGCTCCAAGAACGAGCAATTCAGCTCAGAGAACAAAGCTTCACCAAAATCATCCACTGATCAACAAATCTTCTCTACCATCTATGAAATAATATGATTTTCTTAAAATATAGACAACAAATCAAGTAATCTACAATTACGGATAACAGAACCTTGCTTATTAGGTCAGTATTGAAAAAGGCTGGTAAATAACGAGTCAAGATATCCAAAGCTTTTCTTTTTCGTTGTTCTCAGGATATTATGGCTTCCAAATAACTCTCAAGTCTTACGCTAACTGTAACAGAAATGCCTTTCAAGCAAACATTGCAATGATAACATTGAAGAACATTTTTTAGCCAGTTTGACGGAAGAACTTTCTATTTAATCTTCAACAGTTTCTTTAGTCCTCATTTAAAGTACGGAAACATAGTATTTCTTCCCTCACTCCTAAAGGACAGGGCGCTCTGGAAGGTATCCAATGGCGAGCCACGAAATCAGTTCGGGAATTCAGATTCAAGCCTTATGAAGAGCACCTGCAATCGCTAAAACTTTACCCATTAGAGTACAGGCATCTTAGAGGTGACCTTTCAATGGCTTAAGCTATTCTTTACTTTTCTGAACATCCCCTTAAACACCTATCTATGTTTAGCTTCAACACAAACCTAAGAGTTAACATCCAGAAACTGGAGGCACAACACGACAGAACAGACTGTAGACACGACTTCCACTTCTTAAGAGTAGTCAAATGCTGGAATTCGCTGCCGGCCGAGCTAGTCCAGGCGGCTACCCAGGAGTTCATTAAGAGAAAACTTGTCATATTCTTAAGGACTAAGGACAGTGTCTTACTATGACATCAACTGCTTTTTGCTCTTTTGTCGTTAACATACTTATAATTCTGCCTCAAAGTATTGGTGATCCACTTCTACTAGATACGGAAACCCGTCAAGCGAAAGCTTCTTCTATTCCGTCCACAGCCAATTGAACCATTTGAATTGCATTAGAATCAGTTCTTTTTATCCTCTAGACTATCTTCACTGAACGAAAGAATTGAAACCATACTTTAGCACAAAGATACAAACATCAGGAAATCAACAGTTTTTTACACATCGGTTATGAAGATATCAATTATTTGGTATTGAAAACTGAGTTTAGGTTTATTCATACCCAACAACCTTGCTACTTGTTTAACTTGAAATTTTTATGATGAGTGGTTCAAGACCGCATATCAGTATCACCTTTCGTAAATCAAAGAAGCCACAACTCAATGACAGTGTTAGAATCATGCGAAATAGGGGGTTGCTAAATACATCGAGAAGATTACTGCAAAAGTCAGGTAAGTGTCGATCGATTGCCTCAGTTTTGTCAGTGTTTTTCGTAAACTAACAATACTAATATATCAATCCTGACATTCATAATGAATTTTTACGCGTATGTATTGTTAGAACATAAGCTTAAGACTTTTAATTGTAGTTTAGCAATCGCTTATTTTACTAGGAATCAAAATTTGGCGAAATGTTGATGCACTTGAAAAATACTTTAGGGAATAGGTTAACATATCAAGTTAACTTGAGATCATTAGGATTGATTGAAGATAATGTTCGAGTGTGATTTCGAACAAGGTCTATCTTTTTCCAGTTGTTTCCCATAGAAGCTTCCTCTTCTGTGAGTAGAGATTGTAAGGCTTTGATTCAGTTGCTGTAAGCTATTTTGAATGCGTTGAGTTTTTCAGTACCACGAAGGAAGGCTGCAATAAACCATTGTAATGCTGTTTCTCCAGTTTTCCAGTGCTTGTTTGGCCTACGTGTCATCTTGAAAACCACTAAGTGGTGATATGAAGCTATGTCAGCTCCTCTCTCTGTTCTCATGTCCTCCATTGACCTTTCGAATATTTTAGTGATGCTAATGTATGGATTAGTGGAATAAAAGTGAATTTATAAGATTTAGAAACTTAGGATCTAAAGGAAGACAGTAGGTGCACATATGCTATTGCGAATGAGTTTGAGCCATGTCACCTCAAGTATCTAAATATTAGTCACAATAACCACTTAGACTTCAATGAGATAGTCTCCACCTACCCACCTATATGACTCAGTCAACAGTCATTACCTTCACATCTTGGTTTGACTACCCCTAGTCTTATTTCATGTGTAATTATCCACGTATCATTCAATAGCGGATTGATTAGCGTTGAGGTTAGGAATAGAGCGCTAGGCAAAGGCAGAAAATTAGTTGATAAGGTTGTGAATCCTCATCGCTTGAGGTCGTTAAGACATTTTCTACGTATGAATGAACACCGCTTACTTCAACAGGCGACATATACTGATGTAAAAGTTGTTTGAAAGAAAACTAGGGGTTGAGAATGTAAGATTTCATCCTGTATGATTTTTAACTATTGTTTTCAATATTTTGCTACCTGATCAATTGCTGTGCACCGCCAACGATTTATAAACAAACAGAACAAAATAAGACATTTTGCAAAATTTAAAGACATGGTTTAATGACCAACACTAAATCGTTTTATTTGCTTTAGTTTTAATAGCTGGCTAGTTTCATCTCACTGACTTGGATGAAGAAGAGAGTTCTTGACTCGAAACTGAGCATATAAAGTTCCGTTTGATAAATCAGGTGCCCTTAATTATAATTCAGAGAATTATCGCTGTTGTTAGCATAAAGGGTTCGTGAGAAGTTTTGGTTTTTACAGTCTATATCGCGAACTGAATTTAGTTAGATAACTTGCAAACCAATGATCTCTGAACAGCTGTCCCATCCTAGTGTAGAATTCCCCAATCGTGTACGTTATTATTATTATTAGTATTAGTATTATTATTATTATTATTATGCTTATCTGCCAACTTTGTTAATAAAGTAGATACCAACGAGGTTAACTGTGTGTTTTGTTTACTTTCTCCCTCTTGATTACTTGTGACTTGTATTTTCTTTGACAGTCAATCAATCTTTCACTTCAGCCACCTCTCTCCGTGCTAATAATGCTTCATTAGCGAAAAAACTAGCCGAATTGCAAGTTGAATTAAATAACCAGAAGATGGCTACACAGCAAGCGAATATTGAACTATTGAATTGTCGTATGGAAGTAGTCCGTTTACAAGCGTATAAAGAAGCCAAAGAGAGAATCAAGGTATCTTATACAAATTGATCCATTAATAAACTGTAAAAATTGTAAAAAGAACGAAATTTACCGAGTAAAATGAATTCGTCAATCTATTTTAAGGCTTCTTATCCACTGTAAATAGCATCAAATTACGAGGGATTGTCTAATTATAAATAAAGGTTTGATGTGCTTTAGTTAGTTGAGCTAAGTGAATAACGCCACGGCGTTTAACGCTAAACGGTATCGGGTACGAGTCCCGACGTTAACATCAATTCTGGGATACAGGTACATCTAGCTGTCGAGTTTCAAACGATTCTTGTTTAGTTTAGATAAAGTTATTAAGTAATTTTATACTATTTCTGTATGTAGTCATGTTCCCCCTTCTTTTTTTCAAATAATAAAATAATAATTGTTAGGCTTGTATTCTAAACGTACATGAATTATTGTGTTCACAAATTGAAATGGGAATGTCCATGATGAATTATGTGAAAGATTCAATATCGGTATTGGATAAAAATGATTCATTGGAGTTATTGTCAAATCCTACATCAAGTCTGCTTGGTGAAACAGTAGTTGATCCAAATGCATTTGATTCTGTTTGTAGGTAAGATAAAATGGTAATTGTTTATATTTCTTGCTCCGTAAGAGTTTATCATTGTTATTTGTTTCTATTAATTCTCTGACAAAGTTTATTGTAAAATACATTTTCGTCGTGAAATAGTCGGCATTAAAAGCGCTTTTAAACATAAGAGGATAGGTTTAGAGTTATTTATGGGGAATTCACTTCCAATAAATTCGGTGATAGATTACAGCCCATTGTACTTCATCTTGAATAGATGACAACAATAACTCACTGGTCCTCATAAAAAGTATGGCTAGAAAGTCGATAAAATAAACTTTTATTTTATAAATAGTTTATTTAGACTTCGAAATAGTCACATGTGATTCGTTCACCGACACTAATGATGCTACATAGAATTAGTAATTTATACGTTCTTTGTGTATTCAAGAATTAATACCCATATCATTTGTTAAGTGTGATAAATATAGTTAAATTTCGATGTGCTATTTTAGATTAATGTGAAATATTTTGAAGTGTATCACTATGCAGTAATAGACCTAATCAGGTTATATAGGGTTATTTAAGCTTAGCAGTTAATGAACCATAAACGTTTTGGTGCTTTCTACTGATATGTTCGTTATGTGAAATATCACTAGAAGGGTTTTTGTGAATATTAAAGATAACATTTGAACAGTTAGTCGGTCACGAACGACTTAGAACCTGAGACATGTATCCATCGGTTCAAGTTTTCACACTATATCAAAACAGAGAGATGATATTGTTAGGATAGGTTCCAGAACAGTAAGAGAGTAGCAACGCCACTATTGGTAGCAAAAAGGGTTAGAAAGAGATAATTCGAGAGGAAGGAATGAATTCACAAAATAGTCAGTCAGTCAGTCAGCTACAACGTAGGACCAGGCACATATGTGCATCGGTCCAGGTTGCCATACCGCATCAGCACAACAAGATGAACACCGGATTCATAGCAGTGGTTAGGTCAAAGGTTGCAATAAGGATATAGTATAGGAAGGAAGAATTAGTTCGTAGAAAGAAAGAAATGAAGTGATTTTAATCTCTTAGTTTAAGGGAAGACAAAGAGTGTATACACCGACGCCATTGTGATCGATTCTGAGCCATGTCACCAAGAATCTCCAACTATTGGTTACGAAAGTCACGCGGACCCCAACCAAGTAGTCTGCATCTACCAACATGGCTCAGACTAGAAGTTAGTGACTTCAAGCACTGATGCCACGTTTTGGTTTGGCCGCCCCTAACTTTCTTCCAACCATCCCCTACACCGGTTAGCATTGCACGTCGTGGTAATCGGTGTTCAGGCATACGTAATACGTGGCCCAACCATCTCAGTCGATGAAGATTCATAACCTCATCAACTGATTTACCATCATTCCCTAATACCCTGCGTCTAACCTCACTATTACTTACCCGGTGATCCCAGCAGATGCCAGCAATATTTCTAAGGCATCTGTGGTCAAATACTTGTAGCTTACGGGTGTCTTCTACTCTTAAAGGCCATGTTTCGCTGCCGTAAAGTAAGACAGAACGGACTAAAATAGTAGGTATAAAATAATCCTGAAACTCATTATCTAAGGGTAAACAAAGAATAAATGCATATGCGTTATTGTGATCAGTTCTGAGCCATATTACTCAGTATCTCTAACCCTAGGCAATGATAATCTGACGAACCTCAGCTAGGTAGTCTGCAACTACCTACACGTTTCGATACTACTGTCAATAACTTCACAGACTGGATAAAAATGTGTGGGTTAATATTTTTTTCCTACAGTACTCTCGTGTTAAGATGGTTTATTATTTTTTCTCCTGAGTAATAAACTTATCAGCATACGTGAATTAACGACATTAACTGAGTGTTTAGATCATTTGACTCTCTCTAACATTGTTGTAAATAAATAAATATCAATGATGTAACTCAAAGACGAATTTGACCTAACAATATATTTCTGACATTTAAAATGCCAATTCAATAATTCGATAGATTTCGACTGACACCTTGATAATGATTGGTCTTACTCTTTGTAATTAAAAGAACATATATTCACTTTAATCTGCTTTCTACGATGGAGCTTCTTTATTGGTAGTGACACAAATTGAAGTTGATTGCGATGATTTCTTGTATCTCTTAAATCTGGAGTTCCGAATTTTGTCACATATTTTGTACCAACTTGCGCCATTTATGGCGTAGGCGAGATATCCGTCTATCAACCAAAGGACGTGTTTACTGCGCAGCAGTTCGTTCCGTCCTCCATTATGGCAGTGAAACATGGCCGGTAAGAGTAGAGGATATCCGTAGGTTACTAGTATTCGATCATAGGTGTCTTCGAAATATTGCTCGTATATCCTGGGACCATCGACTAAGTAATGCAGTTGTTAGGAAACGGATACTAGGTAAGGATGGCAAATCAATTGATCAAGTGGTGAAACTTCATCAGTTGAGATGGCTGGGACATGTGTTAAATAAGCCCAACGACCGACTGCCTTGATGTGCGATGTTCAGTGGTATAGGAGTAGGTTGGAAGAAAGCTAGGGGCGGCCAGACCAAAACATGGCACAAGTTCATGAAGTCACTGACAAGTAGACTGAGTCATATTGGTAGGTGTAGACTACCTGGTTGGGGACCGCGGAATGATATCAACCGATGGTTAGAGACCCTGAATGACATGGCTCAAAATCGTTTGCAATGGCGCAGGTGCATACACTCTGTGTTCTCCCAAATTCTAATCTTCTGAATTCTTCATGTCCCTTTCTTTTTTTTTCTTTCCAAATTTATTTCACTGGATTATACTCCTTGAATAACATCTTCAAACCCTAATTTTTCTGATTACAGCTTATTATTTTATTACACCTAGCACTACGGGATTTGAATCGACAATTGTATCTCTGTGCTAATGTGGTGTGACAACTCAAACTGATGTACGTACGTACGAAGTTCTACGTTGTTACTGACTGACCGACTGACGTACATTTTTGTCATATCTCTTGATCTCATTCATTTTTCTTAGGATTATATTCTCTTCAGCTGCTTCCTTTATTGCTACTGTTTATTATTATTTCAACTTGTTATTTTCTTCCATTGTTGTGTTGATTCGAATAATGGCGCACAACATGTCGGTGAGGATTTTGCTCTATGCTTGTGAATCCTTGCCTCTCTGAGGTGAGGATGTCAAAAAACTAAGTATTCGGTCATAATTGTCTCCGAAGAATCGTAGTGGTAACACCATTTTGGTAATGCAGAGGTTCAATAATGTGTGTTCAGATACAATGACGATACCTCACTTGGTGTTACCATATTCAAACACTAGGTTTGTTAGCTGGGACACGTTTTACAATGTATTCCCAGAAGCTTCTATGTCGTGGATTATTTGCCGACTGTGGGGAGGAGTATAAAAAGTGTGGAAATAGTCGGTTTATGCCTTGGCACTGCATTATGAAAGAAAAGGAACTTTATATGACTGGAATCTGTCCGTTCAACACGACATTCCGGTTGGAATCCCGAAGGTGGTGTAGTCCTGCGGCTTGAGGCGTGTTCAAACATGGGTCAGAATAAAATCCAAGGGCTACCCTGTTGCAGCTTTCATAAAAGTCGAAGGGTGTGTCCTTACTAAAAGAAGTCCTTGCTAGTTGTATTTTTAACTAAATTGTAACTCCTGTCTTAAGTTATCTTTGTTTACTTATTTTGTTTTTTCCTATGCTCTCATCCCCTATTTTATTTCTATTCAATCTTATTGTTTATTTGTATACCTTATGTCTTCAGTGCCCAATTGTACCAGAATTAGTGTGTTAAATAAACTAATTTCAACTTGAATTCATCTATTTCATACTATAATAATGTTGTAGATTACTATAAATAATTTTAGATTGACATCAAATAGATTGCAGAATATCTATTGTCTGTCCATCTTATGATGGAATTCTGTCCGATATTTTTCTCCATATGACATTGTTTGCTAGTCTTTTTTTTCACTTAATTTTCTTGGTACTGGGACTGTAGCTTAGTAGTGAGTAGTGGTTAAAGCACTCAACTTTTAACGAGTGGTAGTAATCGTAGGCTCGAAATCTGTTTCATCTACTTGTATTTGCGTGGGTGGGTGGCACTGTGATGTCCGCCTCTTATGTGAACAGATATAAGTAGTATGTAGCAGGATTAGGAAATGGAATGCTTACCAGCAGAAAATTGAAATGAATAGAACAGGAAGGAAGACGGAAAGCAGTCAGAATAACAACAGAATTGAAAGAATAATGGAGTATGTAAAGGGCGATGCAAAGATTTGCAAATGAGGTATTTAATGTATGATTTTCATATTTTACAAAGGGACTGTGTGATTTTGCATAAAACAATAAATTGGTTTACCGTACCTGAGTTTTCGGTAACTACAGTAGTAATACCATTGTCCTTCAGTAAACTAAGAAATTAAACATACATGTACTTTGTAAATGAGTTACATTGAGTTAAATTAAACGAGAAATTTGAAGATTAGTTGCATTTATTCTTTGTTATTATTATTAATAATATTATCAACATTATTATTATTATTATTGTTACTGTTAGAAAAGAATTTACAAAGCCTGCTCAACAGATAACAGAACAGAATGTTCGTCAACTATCTATTGTTTATCCTGAAGTTCAATCTCCATCATCATCCACTTCATTAATAACAGGTCCGGTGAAAATGGCATTCAGTCCTAACGATCACAGTATTGCTAAGAATATTAGCACTAATCATAGTAACAATAACAGATTTAATGTAAGTTATCAGTTAAAAAGAAAAAATGACTAGTAATGCAAGTTTATTTTTTACATGAAGTAACAAATTGAAAAGACAGTCAATAATATTGAAGATGTGAGCTTGTCCAGCAGTTTACGTCCCTATTCTTTTGACTAGACTGAAATTTTTTCCGATAATAAATCAGGTTTTGAAATTCTTTAGTTTCAGTGGTATAAATACACTTTACTGAGGACCTTCATTGACCCTCGAGATGATCTTGAGAGTGGAATGAAAATTGGAATGTAGGTGATATAAATAGGTAATTTATTACTTAAGATTCCCAAAGAGCTTAGGAGTTAGATTTTGGGTCTAGTTAGGAAGGAAAAGAGTGAGAAAGTGCTTCCACAGTTATTTCTTCCATCTTTAAACTTCAAGATCCTTTGAGCCATTTTCATAAGTCATGATCCCTATTATTTAGTCTTCCGATTCTATCAATTTTCGACGTCTTAATAATTAAATACTGATAGGTTTTATTCAGTTTTCAATAAACTATCGGTCATCGTGTTTCGAATTTCGCGCCAAGCTAGTAATTATTATTATAAACGTGACTGCTTCATCAGTTCATCATACTGTTACTGATTTAGTCTACTCGTAGTTTGAATATGTGAATGGTGTCGCATCACTGACACCTATACGTAACATGTACGTGGACTGTACTTTGCCTACATATATATTTTTTATAGCACATTCTAAACTAAAACTGTTGTACGTAAAACATTTGAAAGTTGGTCTTTAGAAACAATACAATTAGAGCAAATAGGAATATTTAGTCAAGTAGAATATGGTATAATGAAACATGTAGACACATAACAATAAATAAAACTAATGATATTCACACTCAAATGAACTGTGTCCAAGTGCTTAGTCATGATCAATGAATGCTAGTCGTCTAAGTAATTGCTATTGGTTAGTTTTATTAATACCCCATAACTAGGAATCTATGGATAAAGGGTAATTCATCTATCAAGTACAAATTTGTGGATTCAGTTTTGAGTTATTCTGCTATTTTGTGAAGATCATTAATACTACTCGTTCACCCAAATTGGATTACACAGAACGTGACTCTAACAATATATACTTATTCATAACTAATAATTGGTTAACTTAGGCAAAGTTACCGTCTGTTACAAGCGTTGTACAATTGAGTTGAGATTTGATTTAACAGTTCAGTAAATTCGGTAATATTCAACATAGATTTGAACTCCACCAATTCACTCTTTCAAGCAATAAAAAAATATTAAAGGGTAAATCAAGATAAATAAACATAAGATAAATTTGTTATGCAATACTACTTCCACTGGTAATTACAGAGTGAGTCACGAATGAATATTTATAAAACTTCTCAGCATATGAGCTGTGTGATTGATCATTACTGTGATGATACGAGTTTTCTGTGAATCTTTTTTAGGAATCCTGAAATTGTGACGTAGCCTATTTCTCAGGATCAACATTCATGAATGGCTGACCTAAAGCATCTGCAACTTGCAAAGTTATTAAATTTACGATAGCAGTAACATCTATTGTAAGCCATGTTTTAAAGTCATTACTTTGGATGGGATGGTATAGTTGATCTACAATATAGTTACTTTCGAGTTCTACAGCAATGCATTTAGTTCTTATAAAGAACTAGAGTATTATCATTTGATCACCGAATTTCTGTTTTGACATGTTTGCACCAAGTCATACGTTGTTGATGTTTGACCTTTAGATATAGTTTTTCACCATCAACTATTCTATATGAGACGTTTTCATTTGGAAAAAGTTTTTTTTTCTAGGTACAACCGATACCTCTTATTGAAACATTAAATACTGACGTAAAATCATCACAGTCTATCCGTCAGGAACCACGTAAGTTATTGGCTATTCTTACCATTCAAATTTAATATTATTTCTTATTAACAAGGTTTATTCTTTTAATAATGAAAATATTCGATGTAGTTTAAACTTGGTTTTATAATTTATATGCGAAGTACATCCCTCCCTTGTAGGATGTCTTAATGACAGTAAATTGATTATTATTATTATTATTATTATTATTATTATTATTATTATTATAGAAATCCACTCTTTCCTTCATCAATTTCTTTTATGAATAACTGAATGGCATTATTTTTAAGTGTTACATAACTGGTGAAATTTTTAGTTTTCTATATAAACTATTAACATGTTTGTTAGAATTAGAATGTTTGAAGTGGGAAATATTTGGCTATGTTCTTTATGATATACCTGTAATCTAATTAAAATATCAATCGGATGCTATAGGATTAATATGACTAGTTTTTTCTCCATTTTATCTCATATATCTAATCGTCGAAGATTGTTATATGCCAGTTGATAACTTCTTACCCTTTAAAAGTTTGTAAACTGCAAAGAGACTGTCCTAATTTCATTCATAAATAGTAATGTAGAACCTGATATATTTGTTCACTATTTGCATAACAAGAAAGACAGTTAACAGGATAACGAAAAGAGATATATTGCTTATAGTAGTAGTAGTAGTATTAAGGTGTGATGAATGTTTCAATAGTTTTTCAAACTTCCTAAGAATGGAAGTACACCGTAGTCCATACCTTACCGTAGTGAAACATCAGAAGAAATCAAACGGATTCTAAACAAACATGATATAAGAGTATATTTTAGAGCGAATAACACATTAAGATCGACATTAGTGAAAGTTAAAGACAAGTTAGCAAAGGAAGAACAACAGAACATTGTGTATGAGATTCACTGTCATGACTGTAATGCCACATATGTTGGAGAAACATCCAGGCAATTGAATGTAAGATTGAAGGAACACAAACAATGCTTGAAAAATGTTCCAAAATCCTCGGTCGATTTAAAGAAACTTGAAAATAAGTCAGTGATAGCGTTACATGCGTTAGAAACAGGACACAAGATTAATTTTGAAGGGACCAAAATACTTCAGAAAGGTTTTAACACCCATAAAGAAAGATTGACAACAGAAGCGCTGCATATATGGGCGAACAAGAACAGCCTGAACCGAAAAGATGGTATTCAACTGGCAACTACCTGGCAAATTTCGTTTGACAAGTAAATTTGGAACCCATCTCTTGTTTAAACCTGTTTTTAATATCACATGCATCGTTATTATTATTGAAAGAACTCAATGAGTATTTTAAACAATACATTAAATATATGTGAAAATTATATTTGAAATATTCTCAGCGATTGAAATTTAACTAATTCCAACGTTTAGTCCAGCTAACTTGTCTGGACCCTGAAGAAGTCCAGACAAGTTAGCTGGACTAAACGTTGGAATTAGTTAAATTTCAATCGCTGAGAATATTTCAAATATAATTTTCACATATATTTAATGTATTGTTTTCATGTTTTACAAAGACACTATGATTTCGCATAATACAATAAATTGGTTTATCTCCACCCAAGTCTTCATTTGTTACAGTAGTGCTCACTTCGATGATTCATATTAAAATTAAAATGATGCAAAAAAATGAAGAGATTATCTACTGGACTAAACCATGTTAGTGTATGTAGACTACTTGAGTGTGGTCTGAATCATAGTGCCTATATCTAATCTTTTCTATTACCACTGATACCATTACTACTTCTATACTAGTTTGATGGTCATCACCGTTCTTATTTCATGTTAAACATGTATGCTAGGTTTTTACTTTACTGTATGGCTAACTAAATGATTTCCAATTTCAGTAAGAAACTAGACATTAAGAGGGTAGATGAAATCAGTTCATAAGATGTTTAGACGAATGATATATAAACCTTATAATTGAAAAGAAAATGAAAATTAATGTATTTTAATCATGGTGAATAATTTTATTAGTCATATCTCACTGTATTGCTTCCAAACATAAATGACTATAACCATGTGAACTTCAAATAGAAATCTTTGAACTCGTCGAAAGTATTCTGACCATCTTATTTTGTATAGTCTAAGGTTCTTCTTTAGATTTATAATTAATCAACCGGCATAGCACTCTAGTTTTTGTGTACAAACCTTCTTAATTTTTAAATTATAACCTTATCAGCTATAATTAACCACCATTACTAAAATGGCTTTGTTTAATATAGAGTGTTTGATTACAGTAAGGAGTCCTCAGTATAAAATATGTAATATTCCCAACGAAATTCTTGTCTTATGCATACAATTAACCTGTGAGTATAAAAAAAGTTTTCCAACTGTGACTAGTTCCCATCCATCACCATCATCTACAAACGTTCCTAACTAAGTTTACTGTTAATAATATGTTCAATACATGAACTTCATTGTAATCACTAGTCTTTTCTCCGAAGTGTAAACAAAATGGACAATATACTTCTACCCATTGTGGTGTTAAGATTTGAATTTTGCTGTTAAACAGCTCCATGTAAGATGGACTGCAAGTTTTCTTATTAAAGGTCGAGTAGAAAGTATTGTGTATTTAACTAGATGCATAATTAAATCACTTGAAAAAATCTATTGCAAAATATATGATATCATTAATACTGTGTCTATCTCTTTTTGTGTTTACCATTACATTTTAATGATCAACGATTTACTTTCAGTGGTCTCATTTTACGCAGGTTTTGTTTCTATGCTCTTTATGATCGCATTTTCTAGTGATCTTAAATTCTTAATGACTTCTTTATCACTGTTTCTTTTTGTTAAAAAAATCATTTTCATTGCAACAACAACAACAATGGTAGTAGAACCATCTTGTGAAGAAGTTTTACCTGAAATACTGACTAGTCCAATAACTTGTATTTCTGAAAATAATATTGCAAGCAAAAGATGTCCTCCAATAGTAGATACTAATGTAAATAATGTTGATTTAGACAATGATAATCATATTGATGATACCTGCAAAAGCATTAGTCCTATACATTTTTCAGTTCAAAGTTTACCACAATCGTGTGTTTCTGTAAATAATAAACCTTCCGTTATTGATTCAAAGAATATTGATCAACTGGTCGTTCCTAATCTTGTCATTAGTTGCAATAGTAAGAACAATGAATGTGTAGTTAACCCTGTTGATCATCATGAAATGCAGTCAGCTCGACCTCATCTGGTGCGTCAAGCTCGACTAAATTCTAAACCAATCATTGACACATCATCTTTTATGGAATCGTTTATTGTTAAAACAACAACAAAAGAAAAGAAGAAAAAATCAGGTAAACATCGCCTGATTCGTGTCAGAGATAGTGATGATGAAGGTGAAAATGATATCAACATTAAAGGTGATAAATTAAAAAATAATATTGGTGTTGTTGGTGGCGATGAGGATGGAAGTGGCCGAGTGATTGAAACCTGTTTCCGTCGGCCTGGTGAACTTGTATTTAGAGTTGATTCAAAAAATGTCAATCCATCATCAACGATTGGTGTCAGTGACAAACAGACAACTCGATCCAAGTCGAAATTACCAACAACGACAATCAATCAACAGTCAAGATCGAAATCAAAACCTCAAACTACTACTACTACTACTGCTTATATTAATAGTACCAATAGTAGGAAGACTAACAAAGATGTGAATAGTAATGAATTTAAAAAATTGTCGAAAGTAGTTGGAACGGAAATTAAAACAGTGGTAAGTTCTTTCTCTTCTTGGTATTTAATATAAAACTGACCCTTACAGAATAAGTTGGATTAAATCATGTTTCTTATAGGATTAACATTTTTCTATTTTTTTTCATTAAAAAGTTGGACATGAAACATATTTGTATCGATTCAGGTTGTCGCAATATATCAACACAGTGAAATGGAATTATGAAGAGATATATCTGGGCTGTAGAAGTAGTAATAGAAAAGATTAGTCATAGATAATGTGATTCAAGAAGAAACAAATAGTGAGTGTATCTGTGTAATTGAGGCAGATTTTAAATCATATTATCTAACCCCAACCAGGAAGTAAACATTTACTTATACAGCTATGTCCATTTGTCAATAACTTTATGAATTGATACTAGGTTTTGGTTGGGTTTTCCCCTAGCTTTCTCTCGAACTATTATATAAACAAAAGTTGCGCGTTGAATTAGATGGTGCCTGGTCATATGTATCATATTCCGAACGTATTACTCCATGAAAGTCTCACTAATTCACCAACCAATTTACCATCTTAACAAGGTGCTGTGTTTTAATTTCAGTATTATTGGTTAGGTGATCCTATTGGACGTGAACAATGTTCTGAAGGTATCAATGATCGCATACTAGTAATCTACAAGTATCCTCTATTTTTAAAGCCCACTTTTCACAGCCACTAAGTAGAATTAAACAAACTTTCACAGTATATTCGTCCTTCAATTGCTACACAGAAATCTCACGCCACAGGTGACGCAAGTTGATAAAAACCAAGCGATAAGTCATACAACTAGCCAGATGCATGAATTATAATATCTAGTTACTACAGTGGCCGTTGAATTAAATTCTCTGAAAATGAGTATCACATTTGTGTGTATTTGTAATGAGATTTCCGGCTCTTAGTTTCAAGCCAATTTTTATTGTACACATTCAGTCATAAAAATTCTAAACCTCACTCCAACTGTACCACTATGTTTGAACCACCGGGTGCTTTCACATTATCGCTGAGTTTCATGTATAACTGTTGTGTCCCGATAAGCATAATGAATGGTAACTTTAGGGATCTATTTGTGGACCAATACCATACGTATATTTTTACCGTTTAATTGTTAAATAATTAAAGTGTTCATATTCATGTCCCTCTTATTGTAAGCTTTATTCTGACCTATGAACTATTATTATACGATATATCATTCTTGAATCATGCCCTGTGTACTGATTACTACCTCCCACATTCGCAGCCACATTTGGCCAAATCTTGTATAAATGTTGTTTCCTATTTTATTGGTACGATGTGGTCTGTCTGGTTGGTATATGAACCCAGTATGCTTGGAATAAACGATTCATATCACAGAGGCTGAGATTTGTGTTGTGGACTTAACTGGCCGGGCTAGCCGGAAAGCAGGACTAATCAGGACTCTAGACTGCTTGTACGGGTTTTACGCGTCCTTGGTCCGATCGATAATTCACTGCTTTCTAATTGGCGGTATCGTTACGTTATACATTAACAGGGCACTCAGGCTACAAGTTATAACTAATGGGATTGAAAATTTAACATCCACTAACGTTACAGGAATAATATCTGTACTTGGATATTCTTAAGTTGGACTTGATTAGACGAGGTCATATTGACATGTAACGATCATTCTTGCAATAAATCAATTTTAGATGAGATTCTAAGTATTATGTAGCTTAGGTGACCTGATTAACTAAAGTTAAACACTGTTAGATGCAAGCTCAGTGGCCTCGAAGTTAAGCGTTCGCGTGAGACCGAAGTTATCGGGTTCGAGTCCTGTCTAGAGGATTGTAGGTGCGCACTGTTGAAGAGTCCCTTACTAGTACGAAGCGGCCGTTTAGCGCTCGCAGGTTTGCGGTCGTGGTCTTACGTTAATTGACTCATGGTCTCAATAAAAAAATCCACTTTTGTATGTTTTAATTTAAATCGTGTTTAATATTTCTGTTTATTATTATCATTATAACATGGTTTTCACTTTTATCTTTCTCTCCAACCTTTAATTTCTTCATCATCTCAAATTACAATTTAATTGTAGAATATTTTCGATTTATCAATGAATCGAACTGCTGATCTATCTGTTCTTCCGCCTACTTTAAATGATTTACGCATTAAGCATAAAGAACAACAACAACAACAAGTGAACTCAAACACTGAAGCCCAGAAAGATACCACTGCCAAGATGGCGATGACGACAAGGAAACGTTCTGTTCTTGGTGAATTACAACAACAAGATGATAAACTCTATTCTGTTGTAAAGAATAATAATATTGTAGATGAACACCGTCGTCTTTCAGTTGTCTTGACTCCAATGTAAGCTTATTTTTGGTTTTAACAGATAGTAAAAAAATGTAAGGTTAATCGAGAGTTAGATTAGAAGACTATTAAAGCAGTTTGTAATGACAATACTCATAGTAATAAGAAAGAATATAAATTTGTATCTAATCAAAATCATCATTCACGTAGTAAAGATTTATGTACATACAATTTAGTTGTAAAAAGAGTATGAAAACCAAATTCTATGAAGCGCGGCAATTTACATCCACAACTCGTTAAAAGTTTATAGCTTTAACCATAGAGTTATAGTGCTCCAATATTTCACGTATAAAGTTTAATGCAGACATTCGGCTCTTAAACAGAGTCGGTAGATGTAAGTAGTCAATGTAAACGGTATGAATATTTATTTCAAATCATTAGTGCATAATAGATTTACCCAACCTAAAAACTATGAATAACACATGAATCTGCTTTTAGTGACCAGCTATTACGAATAGAGTTTTCTTGATATTTCTGTACTGTCTTCTGTGTTTAGGATGCTTGTCCAAACGATTTCGGTTAAATAGTTCCGTGGTTATGTTCTTCAACTGGTTAGTTAAAATGATATTTCTTATTACTAAGATTTCAAATTATCCATTTCTTTTAATTAAATAGCAGTTCTGTTATTCAAATATGTCATCAATAACTTCCAGTTTCACATTTATGCATTGACCGTTATTGATGTCTGATTAGTTTTTCTCGCTTTTAGTTTTCTATTTTTAATGCATCTGAGGGTTCAATATTTACTTCCACAATAAACAGGGCTGTGCTGTCATAATTTTGACACCCTTTCGGAATATTAAATCTGTCCTAAAAATCGTCTATTTAGTTCGTTTAGGTTCAATTTCATAGAAGAATCTCTAAGTCTTTCGTAATTCTGGCTCTCACACATGCACGTATTGAGGGATCTTTTCACATCAGACACTCGAATGGAAGCGAAAAGAATGGATTGTTTCGTCTATCAAAATATTTCTATGCTGTCGGGCTAAAACTCGTTACTGAATAAGAAAGCGACAGACAAAGAAAGTAATATCAATCTGTCATCTCTATGCTGAAACTAATTGCAACTTAGGTGCGGTCATCAACTGAATCCCGTCCAGGTCAAGAATTGTGATGCTAACCAAGTACTTGAAGATACCCGGGTCGCTCATTTACGGACAAATTAGACCTGTGTAAATGGATTTTATTGAGTGAATATTAGCATCAGCTCAGATACTGAGAATTTTCTGTTGCAGATTTTTACATATCACATACAAATACTGTTTTCCTAGTGTCATCGCCAACTCCTTCAACACAGTAATCATGGTTATGCTGCGTGACTTGTATGTGCTCACATCATCACCTATAATGATTGATGATTACTTTTGGAAAAATAATTGGTCATGGTATTTCATGCATAGTTACAATTTGTTTATTTATTTTTCTAGATGTGATGAAAATCAACCTCCATTCGATGCACCAATATCCAATTCAAAAAATAATAAACGTCAATTTCGTCGATTATATTTATTCGATCAAGAGAACGAAGACAACGATGATAATGGCAATGACGTTGATAATGGTTATAGACTTAAAAATATGAAAGCTGACGTTGGTAATACTGAAGGTAAACAATCAAAAGATAATAACCCAACTTCTTCGATTGGTAAGCTCGGTAATAATCGTAATAGTAATCTACCAATGACGATCAACCCTAAAGTAACTACTAGTCGATCACGAAAAAGGAATTGATTGAAAAGAAAAGCTCATTAATGTCCTGTTGAGTTATTTTATCCCAATGCAAAAGTATCTTTTTTTGTAAGTTGATTGAATTTCTCTCTCTTTCTCCATTCCCGTACTTCGTACATTTCTTTCTTCTGTGTCTGTGAAGATTCACACTCACTAGACATGCTTACAATTTTGTGGGTTTTTTTTTAAGATTAAACCAATCAAGCTCAGAGTAATTGTTGTGTATTTTAAGAAAAATGTTATACTTCAAGATTAACCTCGCATTCGTTGAAGACTGATTGTACACTGAGCATTAACTACTCAGATTAATGTAGATAATTTAAACATGAAATGATATTAGAATATCATGATAAATTGTGGATTTATACTGTCTCTTTGATGATATTCATTTGAAAGTAGTGAGTTGAAAACTGTAAATTTAGTTCTCATTACTAGTTGTGACACCAGTCAGGATAGTTACATTTGTTCAGATTCCACTAAATGTCACAACTAGAGACATGAGAAAACATCTCGGATAATCACTTTTCTATTATCGTTGATCTTTTGAATTGATTATTCAACTTGTTGTAGCTTGTGCAATGTAAATTATGTTGGTCATTTTAAAGGTTAATCATGGGAATATTAGTAAATTTTTAAGTATTCTCATCATATTATTACACATTGACTGATAGTTTGCTGTACACTGATTTTGTAGTTATAGTGCTAGTAGTTCAATCAACCGGAATTTGAATTTATTTCTCATTCTGTTTTAAAATAATGGCTTAACAGTTAAAAAGCATTCAATTTTAGACGGTTAAATTGCAAATTCAAGTCCTTTTACATATCTATTTCAATCTAAACAGTTGTGTAGTAGTAGTATCATTAACCATCATGTACTGCCATTGTGGTATGTGCTACTTATATCGACATGATGAGTAACATATAACGATAGTCACGATTAGAATGTCTGGCAGCAGAATGTCGAGAAGGAAAGAACGTGAACAGAAAGTAATTGGTATGAAAATGCCGGAACAATAAAGTCTCAGACGGTTAATTAATATTTGCAAAAGAAACAGTCAAGTTTGAGACAATTAATTGATATTTTACAAATGAAGTATTTACTGTATGATTCTCAGATTTTAGTAAGATCTTCTGTAATTTTGTTTTCAAATGCATTTGGTTGTCCTCACTTATGTTCTCGTTCACTACACTATGAGTATGTGTAGCTTAGACAACTGAGTTCTGTTTTTAGTAAAATGAGCATCACTTTTCAATCTTTTAAATGAGGTAGGTTAGTCTGTCAGTAACAACGTAGAGCTTCGTATGTACATACATCAGTTCGAGTTGCCATACCACATTAGCACAGAGATACAATTGTCGATTCAAATCCCATAGTAGTAGAGGTAGTAAAATTTTAAGCAGTCATCGGAACGATTTACATTTGAAGATGTTCTTCAAGGAGTATAATGCAGTGCAATAAATTTGGTAAGAGAAAAAAAGAAGGGACATAAAAAAATGCAGAATATTAGAATTTAGGAGAACACAAAGAGTGGATGCACCTACGCCATTGCAAAGTCTCTAACCATCGGTTGCAAATCCCAACCAGCTAGTCTTCCCTACCAAAATGGCTCAGTCCACATGTCAGTGACTTCATAGATTTGTGTCATGTTTTGGTCTGGCCCCCTTCAGATTTCCTCCAACCTGTATGTAGAAAGCATTTAATTAAGACAGTTAGTTTATTTCTACCAAATGTTTATATATATATGTGATAATAAATTATTTTAATTCCTTTCCAGATTTTGAATAAATGAAATAGACACTCTTATGGTTGTGTATATATTTTCTATGAAAACAGCATACTCAGTTATATAGAATTGACTTGTCTATTATTCTTTGTAAATTTAAATGATTAACTTCATGTTATCCGTAGTTATTACAGGATCTAATATATTTTATTAAAGATTTTTAAATGGTGAATAATTTTTCTTTAAAAAAACAAACAATACAGTTTACTTGTTTTAAATCGACCTAATGGCGTTAACTGTACATTGAATTTTGTTTATAGAAACTAGAAACTTCCTAACAGAAATATCCCATTTTATTTTTGTCGAAGTGTTTGTTACTGGTTTTTTATGTGTGTTTATCTTTTTTTTTTATAATTTTCATTGTTCATCTTAATTCTTGTTTAAATTAATCACAATATTCTAATTCTTTGTTGATGATCATACGATACTTGTTATATCCAATGTTACACAATTAAAGAAAATAGTCTTTTTTTATTGGCGCTATTAAAATGTACACTGATTTGGTAGTGATAATTTAGTGAAGGAATATTAACAATCATGTTTTATGGCTTTAGTATGTGTAGATATAAGTCAGGGTTGATACTTCGACGTACAGTGCTATCAGGTATAGAAAAGTCGGTTGGAAGAAAGAAAAATTATTAAGAGGTGATCTGTGAAAGTCATGGTATCAATTCATAAAGTTATTGACATTTGGATTGATTCTATATGTCGGAAGATACGGGCCTTTAGATAAACATCTTAAACTACGGTTGGAGACTTGACTATTCGTCCAAGTTATCAGTTAAAATAAACATGTCTTAGAGCTTTTTCTGGTTATTTTCTAAATTGTATATATTTCTGAGTTAAATATTGAGGAGTTAAAACTGTACTCTTAGATTTAAATAATACTAAAAAGGAATTTCTACTACAATCAGCTCATGTGTCTCAATGCTGTTTATTTGCTTAAAAGAAAAAGTATATATTCAGAGAAATCTTCAAGATTACAAATGCTGTAATTTTTTAGTATTGATAAGATGTCTTAGTAAATAACAGTTCTATATGTTCATTGTGATCAAATTTTGAGGGAAATTGTAAATATTAAAATCCCACGTCGTTGTGAAATTATCATTTCACATTATAACACTATTTCATCATAAATTCAAGTTGTTTAATATTGGGCGATTAAACTTGCAAGTATTTATCTTCCAGTAGAATTTCTATATTTAAGTCAACATTTAGCTTCTATAATACGAAACAAATATAAGTATTTCTTGTACTATCCTAGACAAAAACATGGTATGATTTACATGATAAGAATGATTTTACAGACACCTTTCCTGGGTTTCTTGTTTACTAAAATTTTGCCTGGATCTCTGTGTTGTTTAATGTAGATAAATGATAATTGCTATAGAGACTTCATAAACAAAAACAGAACTTACTATTCATTCAAATATACGATCCTGAAAGCGGGGCTAGTGACAATATAGTACTGTATGATTACTCAATTATTATTTCTTTCAGAAATGAATGAATTCAAGAGCGACTCTTGGAATTTTGATGCGAAGTCATGACTGGTCATATCGGGAGTAAATAAACATAATCAGTAACACTATATGACATGAACTATTAGGTTGTTTTTCGTCTGATGAAAAGGTATCGTAGTAATTAAATGGTCTAGACTACGATATACAACTTCGACCTTGAAGAGATTTTAGCCAATCGGATGTTAGTAGATGGTTATATTGGGTTTGTTAATAAAAGACAGCTGTACAGGCTTGACGTGAATGACAGGTTTTTCTGTGTTCGAAACGGGCTTACCCTGTAATATGAGGAAGCGTTCGTTTAGGAAACTCATTTACATGGCACAAATAATGTTTGGAAACAGCCTACTGAGCTCTTACATTGTCGATTTGGATTGCAATATCTTGCTCCGTTATTGGTCGGCTAGAATGCCGTTACGCAAAAGTAACTTGTCTGGGAAAACAGGACGATTCGTACATCAGTAAATTCATGTTATACGGAGGACCTTGAGAGATAATCAAAACATCCCTGGGTATGCCTTAATTTACGTGAATCATGCTCAACGTGTATTTTTTTCAAACAATCTACACAATTAATATAAAGCGTCCCTTATGACGTAACTTTCACATCCTTTAGTGTATGATTACACAAGAGACATGGTCCTAAGAACTAAGTGTTAGGAAGATTACATTACTCATAGTGAGGTGAAGAGACTAGCTATAAGTTTTTGTTGATCAGTGTTAACAAAATTAGACTATGCTGTTTGAAAATAACCGCTGTTTACTCTACAACATAAAAAACCAAGAGTTTGAAGAACAGTTGAAATTTATTATTATTGTAACTGAAATATTCAAGAAATGTGCTTGTTATATTTACAATATTTTAAAGAATATACAATTTTGTTACTGAAAATAAAGTTACAAGGATAAAATGATTTGTTCTTTTTTATTTTCATAAAGATGGTTTTCCGTGTAATGCACAGTGCTAATCGATGTAGTTATTTGGCTAAACATGGTCACATTTATACAACTAATGCTCACAAATTAGTTATATCTATATGTTTGTTAATAGGTATTATGTCACTCATATTTATTTTAAAAAAGGGATACTGAGTATTTTGATGTTCAACAACAGAACGATTTTCCGACGTGAAATCTAAAAAAAAAGATTTTTAAACTCATTCAGACAATGCACATATATGTACAGTATTTAAACAACTTTATGAACAGAACACTGCAACTCATATTTTTACCCAACTTTCAACTGCACATTTTGAACAGCAAATATATTCTGTTTTCAATAAAGAAACTAAATCAGTGAGGCATTTATATGGACATATCTGTCAGATCAACATGATCTAATCATGTAGTTATTCTGATACAAAGAGTAAAACGAATCAATGTCTGAATGAAAAACTAAACCAAAATTCGTATAACGGGATGACAAATATTGTTTTACATGAATTGCGCTTGTCAATGCATTTATTCTCTATAGAATACTGTAGATCATTAGGGATAGAGATATTCTCTAAACCTTAAATTTTTTTGACTATAATGTCCAGAGAAATGAGTTTAGCCAAGGTTATGCACTTTTAACGGTCCGCCTAAGAAATATTGATAACCACTTACATTTATTTTAAGATATTTTGACAGTGACTTTATTTTAGCTAACGATCCCCATATTAGAATGTTTGTTTTTGAAGATGTTATGTTCTCTAGACTGGGTGGTGTCTTTTCAGAAGACATAATCTGCCGAGCAATGAGTGATTAGAATTTCATTACAGTTGTTTAAAAGCTTGTTCTGTCAGTATGGATTTTAATCTGTTTTCTGTAGTTATGGTTTCACTATCTTCTCTGAAATGATCTTTTATACTAATCGATCCCAGTCTTTTGCATTATCAAGAATAAATTCAGATATATGGGACTGGTTAGCTGGACCCAACAGCTTTGTGAACAAAGGATTGTAGCAATTGTAGTACGCAAACATACAAGCTTTTTACTTACTGTGGTTGTTTTTACGAAACAAGTTATCCCGTAAAGTTTATTAACTTATATATCGTGCTTCGAATTTCGACTCATTAATCTGCTGAGTTTATCGTATTTTTAATTCAAAAGACGTTAATTAAGGTTTATTTCCGTGTGCACTACGTTTTGTTTATATTTCGGTTAACGAATGTTAAAATTCCTTGCAACAACTTATTAGTCTGTAACTGTAATAAACTTATAGCCAGTCAACGAAGAAAAAGGAAAAAGAGGCTGGATAGTGATGTGAGACTTAAAAAGCAAGTACGTTCTGGATTTTAGTGAAGGAGAAAAGTTTGGTTATCCTGAGGTTCTTATTTTATAACATTGTATTGCAAAGTGTGAGCTCTATACAGCAAAACAGTGGTTGACTAATTAGTTAAAAGAACATATTTGCTTCGTTTCGGAAAACTTGTATTCATAAAATGTGACTATTTACTTACGTTTCCACAGTTATTTCAACTGCTTATAGGATCATACAAATTTCCGAAATATGCTACACAGACAGATGATGAAAAATGTTGTATAAGTATGAGGACTCCATACTCGTAGTGCGCCTCCCTACGTCAAAAATAAAGACATTTTCATGCAAATAACCATAAGATTTCGAAAATATTTAAGCGTGAGCGTGTAAACATCAAAATGTTTTATAAAAAAGATAAACAATATTTAGAGTTCACTGTAAGTAAACAGGCTCATTTATACTTTCCGTACATTATAAGGGGTTAGTTTAGTGACATTTATGGTCACTAGGCATCAAATGATATGATGAAGTTAGCTCGATATTTTGAAGAATAGAAAAGGTACATTTCTAATTATGTTTAGCATGCGATAACTTATGTGTGCATAGTATAATTAAATGTATCTGAAAAATTTTAGGTACAACTTTAATACACGGTGACCTTGGGAATAATGGCACAGAAAAATTCTTAGAATAAGTTCCGGGAAATTATAGAAACCGCAGTTAAGCTTCTCACCACTGAACTGGTCCATATTTATAAAATATGGGCACTCATCCATAACATTTACTTGTTATTGATGCAATCTAACTCAAATTTTGCTCCGCTTTTCTAACTGTAACAACACGTTTAGACTGGCAACTATGTGCTTTTCATTATATACCAACTTGTGTTTCGGAATTTCTACTCTCTAGGCCAATTCAATTCCGAATGTGTTATTTGATGTCAGTATTATGAGACAGATATTAATGGTAAAAAGTTAACTGTAACGGTACTCATATTTTCATACGTCATGTGTTTTGTAGTTGTAAAACCAAACATAAAGAGAATTAATGCTTTTTTATTGCTCATAAAGTCAAAACACAAATAGGTTTATTCATCTTTTCTCTAATTTTGCTTACATTATTTTCAAACCAGATACTTGTCTAACAAGTATTATTGTTTTCTTAAAGGGATACTTTATGTGATAGCTAGTTAAATAACTTACAGGCACATAGTAATTGCATCGATCACTGTTACAGCAGTAAGAACAAATCCAGTCACGGGTTTTTGATCTGGAACAACGCTCTGAGATGACAGACGATGTCATTTGACAAGCAGATGTTGTTGTGCAGCCTTTTGTAACAAATGCCCTTCTCTCAGCGAGAACTGTCCAGAAAGAAGGAGCTACGATATCAGAAGGAAAACATTCGGTTACTTCGATACTGAACAATAGACTGGCAGGTATCTTGTAAAGGTTCGCAAGTTTGGATAGTTCTAATACAGTCATTCCAGTTTCCCTCCTCATTTGTACAAATATAGCACTCAAGAGCTTCTAAAATTTACGTAAGCAGTATATAAATCTTAGAATGCAAACCTAGATGAAAAGGCAAACTCGCAACTAAACTTAGAACCTCTAAGATCATTTCCTTCTTTTTGAAAAGTTGCTGTTTATACTAAAAATGTTAAACAACCCTATCGCATTGAATAAACATAAGATCAGCTGATCTTCGTTACACTTACGGCAAACACATATTCAGAAATACCGACTTTGACGTTATCTGATAATTCTCCTGAGTTCGATCGTTAGAATAAAGCTCTCATGTTGATGGTTGTTTCCTGGTCTATTAATAATCCCGCATATGCTTATAAATGATGACGTCCCTTCCAAAGCTTCGCCATCTACTTTGATTTGGCTTCCGCTTACCGCGTTACACTTTGGGATCTTGCATTTACTTACTCCTGTTCAAGCCTTCTAGTATGGAAGCTAGTACTTCCCGGGCAATTTCCGTGTATGGTGTAAAAAGACAATTCACTCTGCTTACTCTGAATTGTGTGGTTTTATGGATAATTTCAACTGTATCCCATGTTTCTCCTATGTTATGAAAGCCTTCATGATCCATCCAACAGCTACAATAAAGATACAGAAAGCAGGAGCCTATTCTGAGACCGGTCTTTACTAGGTAGACACCTCTGAACTTATCTGTATGCAAGATTTCAAACCCAGACCCTCATCAACATATCGTATGATGATATTAATCTTTTTCAGCACGTCACAGTGTCGAAGAACACTCCGTACTCTATCCAACGCCTACTTATAGTCCGAGACGTTAATGTATACCGACGCTTTTTACTAAGTTGGTGGTCGAACATGAACCCATAGTGTCGCAATTTGTCGGCATACGATCGATCCTTGTGAAACTCAGACTGTTAGTCTGAAAGTTCAGGGTCCATTGGATATTTCTCTGAATTATCGAAACTTTTAAAAACTTTGTCTATTACTGATTAAAGTGTTATTCTTCTGTAGTAACTTTTGTAAGTAACGCTCCGATGTCCCGTATGTCCAATGTGGTTTTCGACAGAAAATCTATTCTAAGTTTTCCACTAAGCTGTATCATTGCTCATGAATCTCAATCCTTGCCTGATCTCTACGGTTTACTCGCTCCTTATATGATTTATGTAATTAATTCAGCTTTTTCTGATGCAGCATCCACGTCTTCGCATATTTTCGCTTGTCAGCAACAATGCTTTTCTTTCCTAAATTTACTTATTCATTATGTACCCTACGTTATTCTGATCACATTCGGTTGCCGTTGAAAGTTTGTTTATATGCTCTGTCCGAGATCCTACTCAAAATATCAGTAGGGATCCACTTGTTGCTGTAAACAAATCTGCGAAACCAATAGCTCTGTAAGCCTTCGACATTGGATGCTGACCACATTAGTTTTAATGGACTCACCCAGCTGTAGGCGCTCGGTCATGCGTCCGCACCAGATCACGTGTGGGAACGCCATGCTCAACAACTCCTTCAATCGCTAGCCAGATAAGATCAGACGATTCTCGATATACTGATAGCCTATCAAATATATTTTCGAACCTCCTCTCTTCTGTCTTTTGATTTCACTTGGTAGGTACGATTCATATCATGTCTTACTGGTCAAAGCGTTATCAAACTCCAAATACTTGTGGCAGCCTCACACTACTTACAGTTGTACCATTGCAGCCTATGACCGCCATAAATTTTGAAGTTTTCGCCTCTTCAGTCTCTTACCGAGTTTGTCAGTACCTCGAGGTAAAGAGGAATCAAAATTTTGTAACTTGGTTTCTCTAGTTATCTGGGCTTGTTTAGCTGCAGTTTCGGCTTGTGTGCCATTAGATGGCGAGCTGAAACTTTACTTGTTTTAAACTTTTCCTTAGCTGTACTGAACTTTCTGTTAGGGGAAATGAAAACAACTTGGTTCTCCGTAACGTATATATTTCTGGAATTTTCTAAACATTCTCCTTTGTTAGTCAAAGTCCATGTCATCACATATTATCCTCAAACTCGATGTTCATTTCTGACCACTTCTCTACAATCGACTAAAACCTCCCATAAAAATGAACTTTATCGTATACAGAGCTATCACTGGTGAAAGCATAGCACTGTATAATAGTGATTTTAATCCATCCCTTCTTTCTTCTACTGAATCATTTCATATTAATTCATGAAATTGCCACTTTATAAGTACTTTTATTGCTCCTTTGAAAGACCTCAGTCTAACTCTTCGTGTACACACGGCATTTTCAATTTCATTGAAAACAGTTTAATCACACCTTTTTTGAGGTTGGTATTTTCTGTAAAGCCCATTTAGCTTCGCACTTTCGGTACACTAATATGATATATTTATACATATAACTGTAGATCACCAACGTAGATTATCTATGTCGAAATTGGAGACCTAGTCGAGTTAGACGTGAATGGTGTGACAAACTAGCTAATGTCGTAGTCACACCTCATGGTCAGCACCTTACGTGGACTACCCCATCGAAGTATCAAGGTGCCATAGATGCTTTGAAGACTGTACAACGCAGAGGACGTTACTACAGAAATATATTAGTTAAAGTAGATACAATCGAAAGTAAGACCAATGCCGCATGGGCCAGTCCATGGCATACGACTAACTGATGCGCGTTGGTTGTCCCTGACCTTGATGAGGATCGATGATTTGCTCAATATTCAATGACCCAAATGCCGGATGACTTGGCTAGGGCTTGGTGACATTTCGCTGGCCTCACATGATTAATGGAGTTACTCGAATGGTCCCGTGTCTCTACATCGTACATCCTCTCCATGTACACATGTTAACTGTTTTCCTGGTCGTCAGACGGTTCATCGACCAGGAGATTAAGAGAAAACTCGTCTTCACCACGGAACGTTATAACAATTTTTCGTGAAGAATCTTTAACCGCCGGGTGGAACTTAAATTCTTCGAATGGTTTTTTTAGTTGACGTTTCTTAGGTAAAGTTCGTGTCTATCGGATGACGTTATTAACATCACGAAAACCCTTCTCTGCTTACTACTACTTGGGACAGAGAGCAACCCCCCTAGGAGTCAAGCAGTAGTTAACTGGTAGAGGAAGGAAATCCTATCGTTTGGTAAGGAATCTCGCTTTTTCAAACAGACCAACTCTACTCCCACTCAACGGAAAAAGATATTACTAGTAGACAATCGTCATGTGACATAATTCAGAACACGTGAAAGTCACGATTCAAAAAATTTGTTTGTGCTTCGTGACCACATCATCAGAATCGGAATATTGCAGTTTCATGGACAGGCTATCATAGGCGAGTCTCATTTAAACACACGATAAAATTAGTTATTTCCAACAATTTTTTTTGTTTCATTATGGCGATGAGTATTTTAATCACTCGTGCCACGAAAAATCGGTTATTCATTATTGGTACAGTATGTAGATTGACGTAGGGAGGAAGTAGTTATCCTCTTGTTTCCTTCCCAGTTAATGAATATGTTTATTCTGTGTATAGATAAATGGGGCTTAGGTCACTGGATTTACACATTTATTTGCGTACTAATGGCTCTGATTTTCTCTTAATCTATGATAAAGTTGTACGATTTCCGAAGTCGGTGACACATGTGAAAACGTAAACAATATATTTGAGGGAAGAGACCTCAGATCAAATTTCGAATTTACTAACTAGTGTTATTACTTTGGATATCTTCCTATCGGGTGCCGTGCAAGGATTTCAAAGTAGTTGTAGTAGGTTGCGTGGATTAGCCTATCAATCATGGTCATTCTGTATAAATTGTTTTAATTCACTTTATATGTATTTATCCTATCTTTAGTCTGAATAAGATCTTTACAAACTCCAGACACCATATTGTTAACTGTTACGATACGATGAGTCAGCGTAGACAGTGATGTGACTCATAGATTAGACAGTCATACCGTGAAATATCTACAATTTCAGGATTAGATCTATTATTATAATAATATTAACAACGACGTAGACCATAATCCTGCAGATTTCCTCAAACTATTTCAACAACTAAGACTCTATGCTTGTGTGGTGTTTGTGCCAAGCAATGATTGTTTTAAACTTGATTCCTTCTTGATATCGAATTCTAAATACAGTGCGTCCGTTTGTGCTCACCTAGTCTTATTTGGTTGAACATGCACTGTTCCAGGAACTCTTGTTTAATAATATAATTCGAGTACTTTTGATTATAATACCTCGTTATTGGTGCATCTCCCATATGGATGTTGGCAGTTTTAGTACAGAATAGCAAGCTTATCATTATTGTTCCTAGAAGATGATGCAAGAAAGGGCAAGGGTATTCCTAAACTGTCAAACTCAGAAGATAATAAATCCAACGCTCTTGTCAGAATAATTAGTTATTCACACATCACAAATCACGTTGTTGAGGGATCAGATGGACCAATATCTCATGTACAGTCAGTCAGTGCAAAAATGTGTAGGTAACCAGGAAAAAAATGTGTGAAAAAATACGAATAATTCACACTTTTTAGTGGTAAACATTTTTTAAACGAACAGAGAACTCACTTCAAAATCAACCTCATATGACAGAAGCGATCAGTCCACAAAGTACAAACTTAAGCAATCAGTCTAAAATGTTGATCACCGCAAAGAAATGTAATGTAAAACAAATGTAAACACCTACTTGAAGACTTATCAACATCGGTGAGTTATTTACTATTCAGAATGTTTTTAACAATATAGGTGTAATAAATGCAAGCAAACCAAAAAAGCGACAAATATACGAAACTGCAAACATTAGTAGGAGCAGCAATAAATACAACGGAGCGAAAAGGTGATAATTGAAGATGGCACAAGTATTCAGTGTTTGACAACGCTTTTACTAGTAACGCCTTCTAATATAACGCGTACCCACCAAGAGAAATCAAAAGACAGAATCGAGGAGAACAGAAGTTGTATTTGACGATTATCAATTTATCAGAATTGTCTGATCTAGTCTAGCTAGCGATTGCAGTAGATGTTGAGCACGGCGTTCCCACACGTGATCTGGTGCGGATGCATGACCGAGCGCCTTCAGCTAGGCGAGTCCATTAAAACATATGGTCAGCATCCAATGTCGAAGACTTACAGAGCTATTTATTTTGAGGATTTATTTACCGCTACATGATCATAAGGAAAATTATTCAAGGAGGTATTTACTCCCATATTTGTAGTGGCATTGGACAATAGCCACACAATCCACAAAGCTGTGAACACGAGACTACTCAGAAAATAGATATTCAATTTTTAACGCGG